CAGGAGAATTAATAGTATTTTGATTAATTTTAACTATTTAACAAAATCAATATTTATCTATGTAATGTTGCAGATAATAGAAAATATGCATTATTTTATTCGTCAGATTTACTTCGATGGTGGCTTGGACAAATCATTCATTTAATAATGTAAAAAAATATAAAGTTAAAAATGAAGTCAAAATACAAGAAATAAATGCAATTAATTCAACGAATTTACCTGTCATATATTGGCTACGCGTTTATTTACAATATTTAAGATTGTTTATTGGCTTTTGTTAAGAAATTATTCGTTAATTATTGTGTAAATTTATTTCTTTAAATTTCCTTTAACTATGAAGTCATCAAAAATTTTTTTATTTTAAATGTTATTTATATAATCATTAAAAATAATTACGGTTTATATTGACTGCAAAAATAGCTATATAAAAATATATTTTGTAAAATTAACGAGGTCGTAACTTAATATATTGTATGCGAAAATTATTATAACTTAAAAATTCTAAATGTTTTTCGGATTTTTATTATCTACAAAGGCTGTATAATTTATCACCTTTAAAGTCGACATCACATATAAAAAACCCTGGAGTGTTGATGTTGATCAACCATATTTTTTTACGTGATAGTTGTTCTCTTTTCTTCACCCATTTTGGCAATTCCTAGTGGTAAGTGTTTACTTTCTATCTTCATCAATTTATGGATTAAATTACATAGGAAATATACCTTATAAAACGAATTAAATTTTTCATTTTCTGACACGTGTCAGGTCGAACGGAGTTAACTTATCCATTTCTGGAAACATTAAGATCTGGAGAGAAAATATTGACACTGCGTACCTTCGGCAATGATATAGAATTGAAACTGGAACCGGCTGGCGATGTCATTGCCGATGATTTCACTGTTATGGACGGAAATGGAAAAATTCATAAAACTGTGCGTATTTCTTATTTACATTTTGTAAGCGAATATTTTGTAAATTAAGTAATAGAAATTCATTTTTATGTATCTTAATTATAATGTAAACATTGAAGTATTTTATCTCTATGAAGGATGTGAAAAACTTAAAAAGCAAGCTGTTTAGAAATAAAGAAAAGGATGCAGCTCTGTACATCAATGAGGAAGGACCTTTGAAAATTGTACGTGTTTAAATATAAATTTATTGCTGAAAGTAAAATAATTTTAAATTATTTGTTGAATTTAAGTATTTTAAAACAATTAATAGTTAATAAAATTATTTTAAATTTAATAAGTTATAAATTACATGCAGATTTACTTGATAGTCAAAAAATATATATTATTCTTTCTTTAATCAAAATTGAAATTCATATTAAATATCTTGCAGGAGAATTAATAGTATTTTGATTAATTTTAACTGATTAACAAAATCAATATTCATCTATATAATGTTGCAGATCATAGAACATCTACATTATTCTGTTCGTGACATTCTTTGATGGAGGCTCGAACGAATCATTTATTTAATAATTTAAAAAGGAAATAAAGTTAAAAATGAAGTCAAAATACAAGAAATAAATGCAATTAATTCAACGAATTTACCTGTCATATATTGGCTACGCGTTTATTTACAATATTTAAGATTGTTTATTGGCTTTTGTTAAGAAATTATTCGTTAATTATTGTGTAAATTTATTTCTTTAAATTTTCTTTTTTTAATGAAAGCCTCAGACAATATTTTCTAAAACGAATGAATATTTTTGTTAAATTTTTTGCAATTTTTCAGAAAGGAATGTTAACTTCCAAATTGAGAATCGAGCCTTATGAATCGCAAGATACAGTCAGAGATGGAATCAAAGCTCATCGTATTACAGAAACTTTAGTAGAAACAAAGCGTTTTAATGATGCAGGTATGTAAATAAAAATATAAATACGCCTTATATCTTTTTAAAGAGGGTGTATTATTTCGTGTAAACATCTGAATTTATTTATTTNACGTCCTTTATGAAGGCATAGAGCCTTTACTACATGAAAATGAAAATTAATGAATACACTGTACAGTAATTTACCTGATAAGACAGACCTCAGAAAAATACTTTATGAGGCATAAAGCTGTCTTTATCATGAAAATTAATTAACTAAGGATTTTTTTGCCCTGCCAGGGTGTGGCCGAGTTATCGAGTGCCGAGTTTTCGAGGCTCTACTGTAGTTAATATTTAAAATATCAATAAACAGTTCTATTTTATTGTTAAATTTGAAGCAAAACAAAAATTGTATATGATGCTATTAAAAGTAAAACTTGCTTATATATTACTTCCATATCAGTCGCGAGTAATGCGCAAAATTGTGCGAACTACAGCCTTGTTTATTTCTCTTTTCTAAGTGTAAATCGGTCTTTAAATTTACTTTTAATTTATTTTAGAAGAGTAATTGGTGAAAAAAATAATGTTGGCTGGATCTTTGATAATTTATTAGGTAGGCGATTTATTATAAAATATTTACAAAATATGAGATTTTTTCACGATATTGATTGTATTATGTAAATTAATCTTTGCAGGATTATCATATTTTGGAGGAACATGTGATCCTTGCAGAAAATATGGAGCAATTGTAGACTTAGATAAACTTTCCGATACAGCCTCTATAGTGGCTCACGAATCAGCTCATCTGTAAATGACTTTTTTAATACGAATACATTTAATAATACTTGTTTCACATAAAATTTACTTTTATAGTATTGGAAGTCCTCATGACGGAGCGGGAGTTAATTTAAGCCTGCCTGGCAGTCCTGAAGCCGACAAATGTCCTGGATCTGATGGATTTTTTATGGGAAGCGATTCCGGAAAAAACCGAAGGAAGTTTTCTACTTGTTCACTCGAAAATATTAAATTTTTCTTAAAGTAAATATAAATTTTATTATTTTTTGGATTTGGATAAAGTTATAAAAATACATTTACCGTAGATTAATGAGAATTTTTTAACAGC